CAAATATTGATCACATTAGTAATTAGTAAATACATTTGATCAGAATAACCAAAATAACAAAGAGTAAATAATAATAATAATAATTAACTAAACATATTAGCGTGTGTTTACTTTAAATTTAATTTCAAATTGTTGAAAATGATCTTTTCTGGTTTTTTTCATTGCCAACCCACGAACTGGGAACCAATCAGCGGCGGCGGTTGTTTCACCGGGACATATTTTAATCATCGCGACAGGATGTTTACACCGGAAGTGCCGCGCAGGAACGAGCCGCCGGTCAGTCTCTGCTAAATGTCCTCGCCGGTTCTTCCCGACATGTCTCCTGCACGTGTTCTGTGACCGCGGCGCTGCGCAGGATGTTGGTGGGATACAGCAGCAGCTCAGAGGAGGAGAACCAGGCGGAGACCGGTCCCAGCAAAGAGGGAGAGGAAGATGATGGAGAGGGAGATGATGGAGAGGAGGGCTGCCCGGTGAGGAAGAAACCCAGAGCTGAACCACAGGTCACCAAAACCAGGTGTGTGTGTGTGTGTGTGTGTAACTGTGGATGTGTGGTGATGCTACAAACATTTAATGTGAAGTTGAGCGACTGTTAAAACACATAAAGGTGAAATAACACTGATAGTATATTTATATTTATATCATTCAACATTACCACAATCTCAGCAGTTGAAGGTTTCTAAAGAAAGACCTTGTGTTCGTGGTTGATGATGACTTGTCTGTTATTGTCTGATGAATTAGGTCTTTGGATTTTATGTCACTCCTAAATCGTATGTGTTTCCTGCAGGCTGCCTCTCCCTGGTTCCCTGCTGTCCATGTTCCCAGACGACGGGGATCCGCAGACTGAGGACAGCTCGCTCCACGGTGGACGTATCCGCTCTTTCAAGCACGAGAGAGGAAACTGGGCCACCTATGTTTATTTACCGTGTAAGACTTGTACTCGTTCATTAATCAGGATATTCAGATCTGGTTTCTTATGAATGTTTTCTCTCCTCTTCACATCAGACCGTCCTGACGAGGAGTTTGTGGAGATGCTGGAGGAGCTGTTCTCCGCTGCGAGCGCCCATGGGGTGGATTTGACCCAACAGGAGGAGTTCCACCTCAGCCTGTCTCAGACGGTGGTGCTGAGACACCACTGGATCCAGCCCTTTACACAGAGCCTCCGGGCAGACCTGGCACACTGCAAAAGGTGGTATCCCAGAGGATTATCCCAAATTTAGAATAAGAAGAGAACAGATTTCAAGAATCATAAAAACATATTAAAATTACCTTAAAAAGAAAACTAGGAATTGAATAAAAACATGCACAAAATCAGTAAAGAAAGAAAGTGATCTAAAATATAAAAGTGCTGGAGTGTGGGCAAGATCTATTAAAAGGCTGAAGCAAAGAGAAAGTTTTCTTTGAAACACATTTACTGAAGGAGCTTCTCTGATATCTAGTGGCAGTCTGTTCCACAACTTTCAAGCGTAATTTACAAAAGCTGCATTTCTATTTCACAATACATAGACATAGTGTGAGAGTCTGAAGTACTTGTTAGATGTGTTCCTCCTGAGGAAGGTGCAGCAGGAGACAGATTTCTAACAAGACAAGTTGATTTAAACCACATCAGCAGCAGCATAAAAGATTTGAAGACCTGCAGGTTCAATGGAAAAAATAAGTTGCATCTTAAGTTGAATATAGTGACATTTTCATTCTTGCTAAAACCGGCCTTTGCTTCTTGCTGCCAGGTTCGTGTGCTCAGCGAGGAAACTGAAGGTCTATTGTAACGCAGAGAGGACGAGGTACAGTCAAAGCTTTTACTGTCTCATGGCCCAAATACACTTTCTGTCTCCATTCACTGTTTGACCTGTTTTAATGTCGTCAGTTCGTCACGAACAGCCCTTGTGTGTTTTTTGTCTCTTTGTCCCCCGCAGGACGTTCTTGKGGATGGAAGTGTGTTCTGGACAAGCTCAGTTGTTGGACTTGGTCCGAGTTGTGGACAGAACGATGACAGAGTTTCGCCTGGACACTTTTTACAAGGTCTCGGATCAACAAACATGATTTTATCTTGTTAGCTCTTTTATGTGTTAATGTTGATTTATGGGAACAGGACCGAAGTGTTTTACATGAAAATACCCAGCAGTGTTCGGGGTGAAAGAATAATCAGTCATTTGATGATTATTTAAAGCACAATAATAGAATCTGGGAGAGTTAGTTCATCTCTAAACCTCATGGTGTTCCCTCTGATGTGAACTTTAGGAGCCGTCTTTCCACGTGAGTCTGGCCTGGTGTGTTGGAGACCTGAAGGGGAAGATAGAGGAATGTATTCAGAAGCTGCAGGTACGGGGACATTTTGTTTCTTTGTTAACTCTCAACAACCTTTAAAATAATGTCCCTGCTGTTAATTTCCAAATCCTGGGGTTATACTAAAATAATTGTATGTTCAAGTGTAAAATGTCCCACTGAGCATGAATCTCAGTTGTAATTCGTAAACTAACAGCTACTGTAAAATATATCTTCATTAAAATTAAACTTCTGTTGGTGTATCAGTAATAGATTTTTTTTCAAATACTTGTCTTCAAGTGTGTGGTTGATGGACGTGAAGAAGGACCGTTTCACCTGATGTTGGACGGCGTGGAGCTGCGCTGCAGGACTGGAAACAAAACCTTCCGCTTCCCCCTGGAGCCATAAACCCAGACAAGACTGAAACCTCCTGTCGAAGGTCACTGGCCACACTGCAGAAGCAGGAGAGGGATCTTCTATCCTCATTACAACACATTTTAACCCCTTTAATAACTGCAGAGACCATCATGGCTAAATGGCCGAAAGAATAAATGTCATTGTAATTTTCTGCATTATTTTAGTACTCACTGTAAATAAAGCTGCTTTTTAGTGTATAACTGTTTTTGTATGGGACAATATGAATGTTATGAGTTGTGTTTAAGGTCCGGAAATGTTGATGTGTGACTGAAACAAGCAAGAAAGAAATGATAAGATGAAAAATGTCATGTTTGAGAGACCGGCCCGAAAGAACGTGCACAACACGAGTGTTAACATTTGAGATATATTTTACTCTTTAGAAAGCAACACACGTTCATTACACACGATCTCACGATAGTTCACAGCAGATATATTAGATTATGTTGATGACACAGGACAATCACTGAAGAGAATTAGATTCTGGCTGCATTTCTTCAAGGACAAGGAATCACGTACAATTGTATCTCAAGATGGACGACGTGACATTTGACCTACGGGGATTAACAAAGTACTTAACAAAGTACTTAATAAAGTACTTCTGATTCTGATGGCAGCTCCCAATGAAGCCAAATCTTGAACGACCCCTAGTGGCTGTGGATGGGATAGTTAGTCGTCCTGATTTTTTTCAATGTTTTTTTTTTCCTTTAAGTTTGGTTTTAAATGATTGCTGCTATAAAAACAGGCTGGGAGCTCATGATTGACAGCTGAGACTGACTCGTGATTGGTCTGGCCCATCTATCGCTGGGCCCTCGACTCCACATCACGATCACTACTGTGCAGACTGACGTTCATATTCAAGATATATCCATCTTTATTTACAGTCTATGGTAAAAACAGAGGAAATGAGAGAAAATATAACATCCAACAAATTATCTGATATATTGCAAGATGCAATAAAAGTCCCCTCATTCATGTTAAATCCAGCCCAGTCGAGGCACCTGGTTCACTCTAGGTTAAAAAGAACATGTCCAGTCTAAATGTATAGAGAGTGATGAAAAAACTGTATGGACAGAGAAGCTTACTGCCAAGTTAGAGTTAGAGTTCTTCAGTTAAGGGTTCATGAAACATGAACGAAAACAGAAACAACAAAGTTCTTACAGCTCGGCTGCATGCAAAACAAAAACATGCAAGAACAAAAAGATCACGAGAACTCAAATGATGGTAAAAGTCTGTTTGTTAAATGAATGAACTGTATATAAACTTGGACAACGTGAAACTATCTTGATCACCCCCTGGTGGCTGGCTGCAGGACAGGTCATAAACCTGCCTCCTCCACGTCCACAGCGATACCACAGCTCTGCACCACGATCACTACGGCGCAGACACCGACAACAAAGACGAGCAAACAAATCCACAATATTTCAGCTTCATTTTTGTACGACAGCAGGAAGCGGAGATGCGTCGTCCAAGTTTATATACAGTGTATGTTTAGACCATTTAAATATATGACAAGCACTGACACATGATAAATAAAGTATGTGGTTCACCAATTCGCCTCACAACATTAGGGGAATAGAAATTCAGAAATCTCTTTCACAACACTGATAAAAGACCTGATGTTGATTAATAACTCACGCGGTGGCACACACCCTGGTTCGTCCCTGGTTTTGGACAAGTAAGTAAAATCTTAGGTTCTTTAAATTCTGAGAAAGATATAAAAGTCACTATATTCAGGTGTGATCAACTGTAAACAATGTGACGTTAAAATAAATCGTATAATTTCAGCTACAAAATTAATTTAAAACTTTGATTCTGTAAGCTAACTATAAACTTTCAATACTTTTTCAATGCGGCAGGTATGAGGGAATATTTTGGTGATCACTGCTCAGAGAGACAGAAAAGATAAGTCAGTTACAGCGGTATTCGTGCCCCCTCCCCCCTCAGCGTCCGCCAGCATCAGGGTGAGAACAGCACGGTCTTGATGTAAGCGACCGTCGTAAAGTTCAACAACATGTTCACGTGTTCATTCCCCGGAAGCTCTTTTAACGTCACGGGCTGTTTCTGTTTCCCCACCCACCGCTTGCACTGGACAGCGCTGCGCAGGTTCACCGTCCCGTCGCCGTCTCCCAACACCACCGTGGGCTCCACGTCGGGGAATTTGTCAGAGTACCGGAAGGCCTCGGATGTCTCGATGCCGCTGCCGAACAAGCAGTGGACGGCCACGCCCGGGGGTGTGAGGTCCTCTACCAGCGGCTCCGTGTCCTGACGCATCAACCAGCCGTCCTCAAAACCGATGTCGGTGAAGAGACGCTTGTAGTCCTGTGAGGTGTAGTTGGTGGTGGGCGTCTGCACCAGGACCTTCAGGAGGACGAAGAACAAAATCTCAGTTGTTTATTAAGTAACTTACATCAAACGCTAACAAGTGAAGCCAAATCATCTTGATCACCCCCTGGTGGCCGGCTGCAGAATAGGTCATAAACCCTGCTTCCTCCATGTTAGCAAAGCGCACGTCAACTAAGTTAAGTTTTAATTAGTTATTCAATGCTATAACACACACACACACACACACACACACACACACACACACACACACACACACACACACACACACACAC